TTGCTTTAATGAAATATAAAGACAAACAGCATTGGTCAGCCAATGTTGAAGAATTATGTTTGAACCTGGCAGCCTGTTTTTGAAGCTGAAGCCATTGCAATCGCACTGGGAAAAAGCCTGAGTCCGGTTGAAGCCCATCAGAATAGGCTTATCCAGACCACAGAGCATTCAGTACTAGTCCTGCACCAAATACGTCTTATCCTACTTGCTATTAGGTATAGGTAGGAACTCAATTAGCTGTATACTGTACAAGTGACTTGAAGCAGAATTTATCTAGGTAAGGCAATCAAGTCTTGTGGTTAAAAAGGTTTGAGGGTCATTTGCTATGAATATTTGTAAATATGTTACATACAGTAATACAGCAGTGGAGGGGAATATATGGGCAGTAAATGAAAGATGCTGTAAAGGTGTTCTATATATATATTTATATTTATCCATATATTTAGATCAGGCAGGTTTATTATTGTCATTGTGACTTTTACTGTTATCGCTATTGTACAGAAGATAAACCAAAGCATGTAAAAAGCCAGTGACTTTGGACAAATCACTGTAAATCAGAGGCAGTGAAGAGTAAGGAAAACTGTCCTGTAGCTTCATTTTGCCAGTTTTTGTCCTGCATTTACGAGCCTGAAGCAGCGTTATTTGTAGAAACATAAAGGTCTGCCAGTTCGTAGAGCCCAAAGATGGCTTCTAAAGAAGGTGTTTCAGAGAGGCTCTTGCCCAGCTGTTGAAGAGCAGTCATGGGATGGGGCATGTTGGATGTCTGCACAACTCACCAGCCATATCAGCAGTGTGCTCCCTTGCAACATGCTGTGCAGTACCTGTCTGCAGCGTGATACCTAACCTACCGTATCATTTGTAAACCACTGTACAAACCAGCAAAACAGAATATCAGTTAAAATCCTCTAAGATACTAAGAAGAAATAAACTCTGACAATAAAAGCTATTTAAATTAAAAAAAAAAGAAAAAACCAAAACCAACCCAACCCACTATTCACCCTCAGAATATAATAGCAAAACCTATATCCAAAGCATTATGCTAGAAAGTATTCCTAACCTGACTTTGTGTGTGATTACATGCCAGGAGCCTTATCACCCAAAGCATTGAATGAAATTAATTGCATATTCATTATGCAAACTGTTGCAGATTAATTGATACAAGCCTCTGGAAAAATCTAAATATGCATCTGTATATTTTAGAACTTGTAGTTCAGTAAAATGTTCTTTAACAGAATTGTCTTGGTGACAGATGTGGTGGGTATCTATTGAGTATTCTTTGCTTCTTTTGTATTTAGAGCCAACTGGTGAAACGCAGCTACTCAAAAAAGAAAATTAAATCCAAAGTTAGATTCATTCAAACAGCAGGAGTTCTCTTCTCTGCAGATCCTTACTACTATGTTACACGTAACCGTAACAGCTGAGCACCGTCAGTTGTCACTTCAGTGATGTGAATAAATTCTGCCATTTATGGTTCCCAATCTTCCATCCTTTCCCAAAAAGGGTTTTTTTTTTTTTTTTGTGCAGAGTCTTTTTTTGTTGCTTGTTTTATTTGCACACGTATTATATATATCCACCTGTGAATACATTGCGTTCCTTCCTCGGGGAAGTAATTCTGGGGAAGTCAGTGCACACGAGTGCACACACATTCTCCCTTTTCTCTGTCCCGTCCCCCTCACCTGGGTTTTGTTGAGAGAAACGGTGTTCCGCAGGGAGGGAGGGGGCATGTTTGCAATGGCTGCGTGGTTCAACCTGCCTCTTAGAAAAAGTCAGCTCCTGCACAGGTGGCTGTCAGCGTTTTGGAACTGAATTTCACTGCATGAGAGGATCAGTGTTGCTGACTGCGCTCCTTTCCTTAGATCACTGTAACAGTCTGCTTGCACTATTTGAACATCCTGAAGGTAAAGTATGAGACTTTCAAACTCAGGATGCCTTGGAATTCAACTCGTACCTCCTGAATTCCAGTGCTCCAAATTTTCTCAGCCTATTGAGATTGGAGCTCACATTAATCATCCTGCTCGCAGGAATCATCCAGCTAGAGTCATGTGCACGTGAGGTTTTCTCAGCATTGCTGGGAGTAAACTACAGCCTACTTTTTCCTTTGACTATGTAACTTTCTTCAAATCAGGCAGATTGAGTTGCCTGCCAGTTGAGAGTTGTGCAGCACTTTGCCTTCATATGAAATCCATGTTTCACTTCCAAGGAAGAGTGTGGAGGGCAGCCTTTTGGTTTCAGCTGACAAGTCCTGTTGACAGTCCCTTTTGCTATTTGACTTCGGATAGAAACTACAATAGTCTTTGGCAGGTGGTACGTGAGGGCCTTAATTTGTTACAGCCGTCAGAGGGATGCGCATTGTTTTCTTTTCTGTTCTGCCTGGTTTCCTGTGGAAATTAGTTTTTTTCTGTCATGCTCGCTCTCTCTGCCAGCCTGTCCAACCCTATCCTATTGACTTTTTGAATCCGTCGGCCAATTTTAGTCCTATTTAACAGTGAGGCAGATGCTTTAATGATGTTAAAGTTCTACCCCTGTAATGAATGTTGGCAGCCAGATAGAGGAGAGAGATGTAATTAATGCCTGCAGTGATGAAAAGGCTTCAGTGTGTGCTCAGCTTTTTCTAGGTATCAGACTTTATTAGCTCTGTTGTGAACAACACAGCCTGTTTTTATCTTATGTGAGCATTGTTGTAGTGCTTTAATAGTTGGCTTTGCTTCCGTGGTTTATCTTGCTATCATGCGTAAAAGCTATAATGAGAGTTCAAAATGCCATTGAGCATGTCAGTGTTGAGTGTGCTGTCTGATACTACCAAATATCAGTGTTACTAATTCTGGGAGATAATAGAGCTGTGTGAGGACAAAAATGTCTTCTTTCACTGCTCCCCCTGACCTCGACTCCTTAGCTGTTCTCATGTTACAGGGAGGTCAGTGTCTGCTGCCTGGCATCTCCAGCCTGGAGCAAAGATTCCAGTATCTTGGGCTGCTGATACTCTTCTGTGCCAGAAATCTTCCTCGAATCATACAGCCCTTGCCTTCCCCAGCTTCTCTTCCTGGGACCCGGGGTTCCCACCTGACCTCCTGTGCAGGAGCCTTGCTCTGTCTGGCTTCATTGCTGCAGAGCAGGATGCATGCTGTGGGTTGGGGAGCGACATGGGGAATGGTTCACTGCCTCTCCTCTTCCCCTAGAAAGATTATCCATGTGGTACCGTGGTAGGAGGGAGGAATGGAGATAAGACAAACTAGTCTAACAATTCCATTTAATCTGTGGGATCCCTCAGTTTACATGAAGCGAGTTTGACTTGCATAATTCAGACATTTCCTCTCTTACATGATAATATTTTACCTTTTTCTCCTTTAATATTCTGTAAAAATATGGGAAAGCAAGTAAGTTTTGCCATCTGGAGAAAAATTGTAGAGAAAGTGTTGTGGGGTTTTTTTTTGTTGTTTTTGTTTTGTTTGTTTGTTTGTTTACTTGAAACTCCAAAGAATACTTTCTTGGGTTTGAGCAACAGGTCTAAGAGAGCCAAATCTTTGTTCTGGGGGCAAACAGCAGAAACATACATTGTTTTGAAGTTTTAAATTTATAAAAGGTGTGTAGCTGCAATATGGTTAAATGTAATGTATGTGCAAGTCCAAAAAATACAATGCCCGAGATCACTGCCTTAGTTGCCTTTTAGCCTTGAGGTTTAGAATTGACCTGTCAGACTTTCATAAAATAAGCTGCTTTTATTTTGGGTTATGAATCTGAGGCAGTAATATGGCAAATAAGATGATGTGTAGCCCAGTAATGTGAGTCTTTTTAGCATTCTAGGCTTGGCTCATAATGATGCTATTAGACGATCTTGATTGAGTTCCTGCATAAGTATGCAATGAGTGTATTCTTCTTTTTCTGTACCCAGATACTTAAGCATTAATTTAAGTGCAAGCCAGCATGTCAAGACACTGTCTTCCTGCAACTTAGTCTCTCTCTTGTAGTACCTTTACATGTTGTTTAAACTTGTATGTTACTCTAGTCTTATAAGGGGTGCTTATCAGCAATTGGAAATAGTCAGGTAGCCAACATTAATTCTGAGAAATTACAAGAATCAGTATATGTATGTGCACACTGTTCTATAAGCTTTTATTTAACACTGTTTTCATGAACCCTGATTTTTGTTTTCTCTTAATGTATATCCTAGTTGTATATGCCAGAAACTGTATGATGAATTTGCAGACTTGTCTACTTACACAACTGTTCCTTCTGGATGTTTTTATTACTCATACTGTGGAATATATTGCCTAATTTGTAAAATATCAAAACCACTGTAAAATGGGAGACAGCAAATTATTGAATACCAGACACACAATTTATTTTATTTAATAAATGAGCTCTTCTACTGGAATACAGAAAACTTTAGGGGTCTGCAAACACTTTCATGAATAATTGGCAGTTGACTTAGAATTGGTCCCAACTACTAAAACACTCAAATGTCTCTGAAATGAAGTATGTGATTAACCTCCCTTGACAAATTGGAGCGATTATGAATAATATGGCAAGTCAGAACAAAGCAAACTTAGCACTTTTATTTCCAAAAGTGTTGATCGGTAGGATTTTTTTTATTACTGTGCACTAAGCCATTTGACTTTCATAGGCAGATTTTTTGATTTGTAACGTGTTCTGAAACCAGCCCCAAATTCTCACATGCCACTGTGACTTTGCACAGCTGGACGACCTGGAGCAGTAGCCTGGCTCTCCTGAGGGTTATCTCGCTGGGGCTGAGGGAAGGGATATTGTTTGCCCTAGCTCATGGCTCACAGAGTTTAAATGGATGAGCCATGGGTGACTCCAGGGAATATATGAGTTTTCCTTCCCGGTTCTGGATTTAGAATGTGCATTCTGGTATTTATTTCACACCTGCAAAAATTATTTGAACAGTATAGCATGACGATGTGGAAAGAGGTGAAAGGCAAAGGGGACATTTCCCATTGAAATTTTGTCTATTTTTTTTGTTCTTTTGCTTTCTGTTCTAGTGAATTGAAGCAGAAGTTGGATGAAGAGGGTAGCAAGTGCAGCATCCTTTCCAAGCAGCACAAGTTCAACGACCACTGCTGTATTCGCTGCTGTTCCCCTTTCACGTTTCTTATCAACAGCAAGCGACAGTGCCAAGACTGCAAGTACAACATCTGCAAGAGCTGCAGTTCTTACCAGAAGAAGGAGAAGGCTTGGATTTGCAGCGTCTGCCAGCAAGCAAGGTAGTCTTGTTCAGCAACCTGAGTCAAGCAGCCATGGCCTGACCTGAGCTTTTCCTTGTATTTGTCAATGGTTAACACTGGCGGGATAGGACATGAAGTACCTGTTTATGTAGGGGTTGATTTGTTCCTGAGGTGTGACGTGCCTTTTTTCTTGTAGAGGTTAATTTGTTCTGAGAGCGTTTGGTTATCTGTTGCATTTTCCAGGCTTGCTTAGCTGGACTGATGAGTCAGCAAGCAGTAATTGGACTTAGCTTGAGCAGGCCTGGGATCTCCTGAAATGCCTAGGTTACTAATGGAACCTGAGCGCAGATGGTGGTAAGGCAGTTAATCATTTTGCAGCAAATCCCACTGATGGGTGGGGAGTGGAAGGAAGGATATTGGTGAATAGATCATCCAGCTGTGACTGTGTACTGAAGTGCTTTTCTAAATGCCAGCTTATTGGTAGGGATGCTTTGGGCTTAATTTGGCAAATAACCAGAGAAAATAGCAGTGCAACCTTTTATAATTCTTAACATCTGTTAAGAAAATGCTGCCAGGCTTCTATTTGCAGAGGGTATCAGGGATTTACTATTTCACCCTTTTGAGGCTAACCGAGATGCAGCATTTAAAGGTAGCACCAGAAAAACAAAGTAAATTCAAGCCAACTCGTGACCACAGCAAAGGAGCCATTTCTTGGATGGTGACTGTGATAGTCCTTCTTGTCTGCATTGCAGGCCAGGTTCCAAAACCAGCCTTAGCTGGGGTGCCGTGGCACTAACCACAGCCTTTTTACTCAGATAAGAAGGGTGAGTGAAGTAACTCGATTCCTCATAGTTTAATTTTGAATGTTGACGACTAAAGCAGCTGAGACATGTGACAAAGATGTCTGCTTATTCTTCACCTTTCCCTTTCGTGGAGAGCACAGGATGAAGGCAAGAGCTGAGTCCCTTTCTAATCCTGTGTGATATTCCTGTGCTCACCAGACTTACTGCTCCCACTTGGCTCCCATCAACACCCACTTGAAATTTAAGCTTTCACATAGTATCTGCGAATGAACGGTGTGCACCCTTTGACACAGGGCCTTTAAATCATAGGGATACCAGATAGAGGATGCTGCCTTTCCAAATGCCGGCCTTTGAACCCAAAGGAGGCTGTATTCACCAGGGCACCTGCTTCTTCTCTGCCTTTTAGCTTGGAAAACCTGCACACACACCCTTTTCCGTCAGTGAGGAGGCAGAAGAAGGACGTGAGTCTCTTTTCCAGCAACACAGAGAGCTTTGGAGCCAGTGCTTGTTCCTACTTCAGTCACTCAACCATTTCATATTATACTTCTTTCTTCCACTTCCCCTGCGTTCACCCATACGGGCGGCAGAACAGGCATCCCCAAGTTTGTGGATGTTGATGAACTCTACTTAAAATAGTTTTGCTGACTCCACAAAAAAAAAAGTCTCAGAAGAATTTAATTCCAGAAGAAAAATCTGTAGCTGTATTATAGAAAGGCTATTTCTGACCCTTGAAGTCATTGTTTTTCCCACAATCCTCTACATCCCTCAGAGTCACCCACCTGTAACTCAGTTATAAACATTTTCTTTATTTATGAGACCTGAGACACAGCCTGAGTTATTTTTCAGTGAATAAATTAACTAACGCTGCTGCTAATCATTTTATGATCTGATTTATTGATTGGACTGTGCGACTTACAAATGCCTGTAGGGGAAGCAGGGACTGGCATTCCTCAGGAGATGCTGAGGTGTCTCAGTTTGGTGGGGGTTGATTTTTTTGTTTTTGGGGGTGGTGGGTTTTTTTTTTTTTTCACTATCATTCAGTATTGCTTCCAGGGATAAACACAGGGGAAAACACCACAGTTTGAGTTCCTGTTGCTTATCGCTTGAATGGAGCATGGACTGTGCTCTCTCGCCCATTCCCCTGCTCCTGATGTCTGTTACGTTTTCCTTTAATAAAACAGTACAAGTAGTGGAGGTGGTTCTTGGTTTAGCTTCTGCTTGGCTGCACACATTGCTGCACAATAGATAGTGAGCTAAAAATATCTGAGGACTGCATTTTCACACTGTTCATCTTTTTCCCTCCCCCTCCCTATATATTTTTTGCTTAATTCGACAAGAGTTAACATTGTAATTCTTTTCTTTGTTGAAAGACCCTAGACAAACTGGAAAAGTACAAATGTGTATAGTTCAGACTTGTATAATAATCTGTTTGTGCTCTTCAGCTCTGCTCTAGAGCAGTGTTCAAATAATCCTGGGGTTTAGGTCTAGTTTATATCCAGTGTATGTCAACCAGTTCTCTGATGTCAGCAGCAGTTTCTTGCCGAACAATAGGCTATAAAGCATTCTCACCCAAAATTGTTTTTGTGGAGATGGTTCACCTTATATATTAGAGCTTGAGGCTTAGGTGAATTACTTGGAAGATACATCTTGTTTATCTGCATGTGTGAAAATTCTGAAAAGTTCCTGTATGATGTGGGAATCTGAACCAATGACTTGGGGATGGTTAAAATTTTTTTGGAAAGCAGATCATTGTATAAACATCCCTTTGGTTCAGATTTAAAACCCTTCTAGGAGCTGTACCGTCGTCTTTAGACTATTTAGTTTCCAATTATCTTCCCACAGAAGGGGGATGTCAACTTTCGCAGGTTGTAAATAGTCTCCTGGTAGATTCCTGAACCGAGGTGATCTTGACACTGAAGAAAATCTGCCTGTTGAGTTAGTCTCTCAAGGCATAAGCCTAGTGGAGATAACAAGCTTCCACAAAACAGGTTACATCTTCCAAGGAAAAGATCCACACTAACATTTAGCAGAGAGCAAATATGCAACTCAGGATTTGAAAAACAGAACGCTTGTAGGAAATGGGGCCAAAAAGTTAGTCTCTGCTTCTTCCAGTAGTAGAAAACACATCAATAAAGCCAAGAAAATGTTGGTGTTTGAACTCCTTTAAAGCACATCTCCTGTTACAATGCATCTTTTAAAAGTTAGAAGATTCAGCTCAGTGTAGAATCTCAGTGCTCAGAAATGTCTTTACAGCAATGCCTGTGTAGATCTTGTGAGGAAGTGGAGAACCTTCCTTCAGTGTCCTGATTTTCCATATTTAGCACACATTCTCGTAATTTATTTTGGTTTAGTATTATTTCTGGATCTTGTTATTAAATTCTAGGCTTGAGGGTTTTTTCTCTCATATATGCATTTTCTTAATTTTTAAGGATGTTATAATAAAATTATGTGTTATTAATTTCAAGTTTTCAATTTGTGTATAGTGCATTTTCGATTCTTCCAAAGCTTTGCACAATGTCTCCTTGTTAGACACCCATCAGACAATCTGTTTAGGCAGCTTGCTGAGTTCTGTACCTCTTAAGTCCTCCTGACTAAGTAGATTCCAGGCACAGCTGCTTTGCCCTCTGGATTGGTGCCAGATGGGGGAATCTTTGCTCATTTATGAGAAACAGGGCATGCTTTCCATTTTTCTGAGATCACTTTTCTTTTCCAATGCTCAAGGAACCATACCGCAGAACATCTTGCTAGTGATACTCTGCTTTCCAGTTTAACACTTGTACTAAAAAAAAAATATTAGTATAAGCCATTAAAATGCATATTTTTGTAGGTTTCCTAAACCAGTCAATTGTGCCTGTGGGCTGTAGGATGAGTATGTACAGTCCCCATCCAAAATTAAGCACACAAACATCTGGCTGTCCACCTCAGCTTTTCATAACTATGGTGCATGCATCCCCCTGCGTTCTTGGTCTCCTTTTTCTGGTCTTCTCATCTCCATATCAAAAGATTTTTGTCTCTGTTGTGAGTGGGAGCATGGACACCTAATCCCTTCATGCCTTCGCATCCATCTGCTGTGTGACTTGTTCTCAAAAACCTCGCTCTGAGGATGCTCTTGTTTAGCACCCTTGAGCCAGGCTAAGATTAAGGGAGCATCACGGGGTCTGCACAAAGTCATTATTCTGCTTCGTAAGAGCTACCTCGTTGTTGATGGTCCTTTGCCAAGCACTGCTCCTTTTCTCCTTATTGATGTTAACTAAGGAAAACCACAGCCGTGCTGCCTACACAAGGACTTTGTGCAAGCAAAGTAGTGTTCTGAGTGGCTCAAATTTGGTACCAAAAATTGTCACATTAATTGTCTGCAGCATGAATTTAGTTGAATGTTTAAGCTCTTTTTTTTGTTTGTTTGTTTTCATACTCTCAATTTGACTGCTGCTTTAAATAAAAGGAAGCAAGAGAGTATAATTTATCTTCATAGACTTTCCATCCAGAGTTACTTTTGAATGTTCTTTACATTTTCCTTCGAGTTTGTTGTGGGGCCCATTTGACAGGTAGAGTTCTAACTAGACTCTAACAGTTTGCATCGGTAGCAAATGTAATTGTCTTACTAGAACTTGAAAATTGATTAGATATGCATTTTTAATGTACATTACAGTGAGACTTGAGGAAAATTTATTAAGGTCTGGTCTACCTGCTGTGCCCAGTACATTTGTCTCTGACTAGCATGTATTGGAATTCATGCAAATGTAAAAATGGAGCAGTGCTTCTGATAACATGAAAATTGCAACAGAAAATAAAAATCTAAGTTCAGTGGGCAAAACACCTTTCAAATAGACTGGAGCTTTGCCAGCCCTAGGACCAACCCTACATAAAATCTTTATATTTGAGATGGTTTAATTTGGAGGGGCCCATTCACCATAATGTGCTTTAACGTCAGCAGAACGGAGCATATTTTTGTGGAGACATGACAAAGATGATGGTAGATATGATTTTAGCCTGTCAAAGGATACATCTCTTCTGCTTAGCTGATGCAGGTTTCAGTGCAAAACACTTTACAGTCTGTACAGGGGAAAACAACTCACTAAAATTTGGCAAGACCTTGGGATGGTACCTGAGAAAAAGAAGCACTCCTAGTTAATAACTGAACCTTGTATTTGTTTGTTGATGCATTTGGCTGTAACAAAACAGTTGGTTTCAGGACTTAGTTGTGGAAAGCTGTGGAATGCTGCTTAGCAATCTTGTTTTG